TTTTTTGTAATTTACAGGGGCAAAATATTTTGGATATGAATGACGAAGAGGAAGAGGATGAGATGCTAGCTGAGGATGGTGCTCAGAATGTGCTACAGCCACCAAAGTTAAAGAGTAAAGATATTGTAAGCAATTCGTCATTTTTATTTGGTTAGTACATTTAATCTTTTTAAAAGCTATATACTCTTAGTTCAAAATTTTTCTTTCCACAAGGACATTGCAACTTTTGAACTTCCTGAATGGTCACCACTACTCCAACTTGAAATTAAAGAAGGGAGGCTATACCTAGATGAAAATCAAAGGCTAGTAAAAGAGGAAGTCTCTTGGTACTTAGTAAAGAAATACGGGACAATACCACCTCAAGGGCTGTACACCAAGTACAGCAAGTTTTTGTTAGACGTACCAACATTCAAAATCTTAAGAGAAGTGGGCACTGAGCAGTATTGGGTCGGTAATTCTTTGATCAACAGCAGAAAACAAAATATAAAAATTCCCACCTTAATGGAAATTTATTATGCTCTGATTTTAAATTACAGACTGGACTTGCAAGTAAAATTTCAATTTACCTCAGAAGACAAAGAGAGTTGTTGAAAAAAAGGAGGGAAGAACAAGCCAGCCAGGGCATGTAAGTATAATTTCTAGGAAAGCAGAATATTTTAGGCCCATTAAATTTCTTACAAAGGTTGATCATAATTCTTTATAAAACTGCTGTTTAGGGTTCCAGTAAATGCTGCTAATATGAAAGTTCATCAAGATCTTGAATCTTTGAGAAGTACTGATGTGAGCCCAAACAGGGCAAAAGAATTGCTGAGGAGTACTTTCTTATTGAGGAAAGCGATGGGCTACATCGACTATAAGGATGTCCTTGACAAGGAAAGTTACCTTCGGAACCCACACTTTGTAAGTATATATTTACTTCATTATGATTGAAAAACTGATGTATGCATATGCTTATTAACTGACATTATAAATTTTCTTCCAAAATATCAGCTTTTTCTAGAAATACAAAATTGGCTGGATGCTCTCATTCCAAACGTCCAAAGAGAGCAGAAGTTCAACGATATGATATCAAAGCTACGAGAAATTTTTCCTGAAGAGACTGTCAACCTCGAGAGTGAACTAGAAAAAATTAGACTCATCTCAGAAACATACAAAGCCACTCTTAACAAAACACATGAACGGAGGGAAGCGCCATTTGATACACTTGAAGTAAGTAAAACATTCTTATCTTACAAGCCCAAAAAAATATGACACTATTAAAGAACCTAAAAAAATTCAACTATTACTAGACAAATAACAAAGATTTAACTTTGAAAAAACTGTGTTGTTTCAGGTAGTTCCAAATAAAAGCTACTCTTTTCAAAAGGCAAATGCCCTCCCATTTACTGTAACAGTCCTGTACACAAGAGAAAAGGGAATTAAGTATGCAATGCTTCTAGGGACAAAGGATGTGATAGGCAAGATGAAATGCAAATCTGCACGAGAAGTTGTAGAAATTTGGCTTGGGGCCTTCATGGCCTTGCGCCAGCCAGTGCCTGCATCTCATTTGCATCTAAGCCTTTTCCTAAAATGGGCGCTTCTTGATATACAAATACCAAGTGGTGTAAGAACTCCCAAGCATAAATTACAAATGTTTCTAAGGCAAAAATATCAAATTGTAAATTCTATGGCTTAGGACCCGTACATTACAGTTTTATAGATATATATATATATATATGCTTACACTCCTTATTTTACATGACTCAGTCAGCAGTAATGTCATGTTTTCTTAATTTTTTATGTAATTCTTTTTGATGAGATGTGTGTGAAACTCCTCTCTAGTGTTTGACAGTGCTCAAATAAATAAAAGTAAATAATTATTTAAATATTGAATTACACAATGCAATTTTACTAAAGTAGGTATAGGGTTTACAAACAGAAAAAACTATCATGGGCACACCTGGGCACAGACAAACACTATTAGTGCTCGAACCCACAACATAAATCACCTACTGAATTATTCCAAAGACACAATTCACAAAACATACATCATGCAAGATATGTACAAAATACCAGATACAAAACACAGTACAAAACATACATACAAAATTACCAATCACATAAACACAATTTCAATACTTAAGGGAGTCATTTGCTCACAGCAAAATACTTTACGAGGAATACAATTGCAAAAGCAACAGCATTCTTAATTATTAGGTAATGAAGACAACGCAGTATCATCAGAGAATTTCTTTGAATTAACTCGTAACAAAACCTGACCAAACAGAGATTAGATCAATTTGACTGAACAAAGTAGCGAGCTGCTCTACAAAACTAATAAGCATTTGGAGTCGCAAACAAACATTATCAGATAGACAAGCCGTTTGGAGGACAAAACACTCTCACACACGAATATAAACTTTTAGGGTAAAAACCTCATACAAGGGTGGACAAAACAAACCCTCTTAATATAACTCAAGATTAACAACATCACAACCTCTCCAATTCACCCAAACACATGGCGAAGAAAGGGACAAGGGTCATACATATACAGATGTCATTTGAACAGTCAGGTCGCAGAGGGTACAATTAAAAATCAAACCGTCAATAATGCTGGTAAAACTGCAAGGTATCATGGTGGTAAATGCTGAGGAAGAGAACAGAAAGAGTGACTCAAGGAGAGCACGTTCTTGCAGGTGAACTTCATGATGGTGAACATGTGCGGCAGGTGGTTGGTGGTCAAAACGTCAAGACATGGGGCAGCCTTCTAGAGGAGTCTAGTCCATGGTCGGTAGCTGGTCACCCAGTACAAAAAGCCCCATGGAAGGAAAGTAATAAGGTTGAAATTGTTGCCGGAAATGAGTTGACCTTTTTACTGCTGGGGATCATGACGCACCCGCAGGGCTGTAGATTGGCGTGGGCGAGCACATGATGAATGAACACGAACAGACACTTCTTCTTCGAACTTTCATCGGCGACGTCCTTAAACAGTCTGACCCTTGCTCCCGAAACCTCTCGTCACCTCGCCAATTCGGGCGGGATTCCTTGCCGGACGACGACAGGGGCAGGTAGGCCGCCAGTCGCGCCGGGGAGCATCGAGGGAGGATGTTTGCCTAACTGGCAGGCGCTTCAAAGCAGGACGCGTGACAAGCCTCGTCAGGCTACTCGTCGGGCACGTCCAGGCGAATCAGCTGATTCC